ATGATAAAACCAAAAACACACCCCAAAACACACAAAACAGATAACTGTGGAATTTAAGGTGACATTCTCTGAACATCAGCACCAGTCATTTCACTCCAAAGACGTCTGGAGCATAGTAGTTCTCACCTAAGGAATTAAATCCCAGGATTCAGCTTTTGTATCATACTTTATTTGGTAACGCTGGAAAAGCCTGGCCAAGAAAGTTAACAGCTATTGGGTTTCAAAGGTTATTCCAGGTTTACAGATATTCCCTTAACTCTTCAAAATAAAAATCTTAATGAATGCATTCATTAGGGAGACATAACAAAAGTCAAATTCACACAGATTTAGATTAAGTCTAAGAAATGGCAAAATGAAGGCCTACTTTTATAGCGGGTTCACATGCAGTAACTACACCACTTAAGCAGCTTTGCTGTCTGTTTATAAGAACATTCCTTATTAGCCTTAAGGTATTCTAAGGCTAGATCACATGAGACAAGTCATTCACATAGTCCTCACAGTTCACACGAGTGAAAAAAATACAAAAAACATCTAATAAAGAAGACTGTAGCTGGTTTTTTCATCACAGATAGAAAGGCAACAAAACAGTCCAATGCACAGGACTATGTGAAAAGAAGTTTAAGTAGTCACATTTTTGTTGCTTTTCAAGAAATAAAGAAAAAGGACTAATTTATGCTATCAAACTCACAGAAGTTCCAACATATAAAATATTAACTACATTAATACTGAATCTCATTTTGTTCCCGCATCACAAAACTGTTCCAAGTTTTTCCGCAAAATTTCCAGGCTTTTCTTTTGGAGAGAGGGGTAGAGACAGAAAAACTGGCAAACCCAACTTATTTGCAAGAGATGTAGCTCTGAATGTGACAGACTGAGAATTCAGTCTCAGCACATCCAAATTGAAACTGGTGGTTAGAACTAGTCAGAGATACTCCTTTTGCAGCATGGAAGACCTGCACCAAAACCCTCCCTGCATAGCCCAGTTTTAACAAGCAGTTAAACACCACCTTTCTACACCTGGGGTGCTTTCAGCACAGGACAAAACTATTAGCTGTTAAACAGCAAAATCTTCCTCCTGTTTTTAACTTCACTACACAAGGTAACTAGCTTATTTCAGTGCAGAACAGGAAAGAGCTTTGACATACTTAAGCTATTTACCCATCAAACTGTTTCCTGTATGAGTCTTAAGGGAATTTAATTTCCCATGAGCTGAAGAGTACAGTTTTAGAGGACGCCTAAAGAAAAGCAAAATGGGTTCAACAACAGGACAACAAAGTTTTACTGCATGGAAAAATTCCACAAACTACCATAGGATGGAATTTTAATTTTTTTTTTTAATGCATAACTGAAACCTAAAATTGCTGTTTAGACAATACTGACATACTGTTTGTCCTAAAACAGTCACACAGAGCTTTGTAATGTATGTTCTTTAGCAGAACTGTTGGGATTGCGAAGGGGAGATTTTTTTTATATGAACGCACATTCTTACCTGAAGAAAATTAATTTTACATTAATAACAAAGTTATTAACTGCAAATTTATTGCAATTGCAAAGTTAGGCACTCAAAAAAAAAAAAACCAAAAAGATCCAGCTGTATTCTGTAGCAATAATCTAATTATGTTTATGTTCTACAGTAGAAAAAGGGTGTTAAAAGTGAATACTAAGATAATGCCACCAAAGAATACTCAAAATGCAGAGACAGAAGCAGCTTGCTCCATTTTCTGCATGTAGCTAGCATCAGTTCTGTGACCTATGCTAGAGCTGCCACCTGTTCTTATTCTTCCTAACTTGTTTTTAACTTACGTAAGCTCCCCAGTCCTACCTGCACTGCGACCAACCATATGAATGCTTGCGTTAAAATGGAATAAACTATTTCAGTTGGAAGGGACCTACAGCAATCACCTACTCCAACTGCCTGACCAGTTCAGGGCTAACCAAAGGTTAAAGCATGCTGTTAAGGTCATTGGCCAAATGCCCCTTAAACACTGATAGGCTTTGGCCATTGATCACCTCTCCAGGAAGCCTGATTCCAGCATTTAAGCACCCTCTCAGTAAAGAAATGCTTCCTACTACCCAGACTAAACCCCCCTGGTGCAGCCTTGGACCACTGCCACATGTCCTGTCACTGGATACCAGGGAGAAGAGATCAGCACCTCCCTCTCCACTTGCCCTCCCCAGGAAGCTGTAGAGAGCAAAGGGATTACACCTCAACCACCTTTTCTCCAAACAAGACAAGCCTAAAGTCCTTAGCTCCTCCTCATAGGACATTCCCTTCCCCCATTTTGAGAGGCATTTTTGAATTTAGTTCAAAATTACATGTCTCAGGCGGCAACCTTTCCAGTCCTATTTAAGACATTACAGTAAGTACAGACGTACATTCTTACTTGAAGTTAGCAAGTTAAAAAATATAATAAAACACATTATGCCCAGTAAGTTAATTTTGCCTTAGCTTCAAAGCCAGTACTGAAGCAATACACCACAGAACCTGCAGAAATTACTTGATCCACTGGAATAGCACCCATGAAAAACACAGAATTCACAAAAAGGAGCTTTGTGAATGTTTTAACATGAACAGTGGCAAATACATAAGTCTCTCCGATTTTACAGGCATAGTAACAGTATGTTGTACCTTGCTTTGTCAAACGGATTCCAGCTTTGCATCATTGCTGCAAGTGAATGGAAAATGGATAAAGAGCACAGTCAAAGAATAGAGACCATATCCTAAAAGCGCCTGCTATTTTTCCATCTTGAAATAATGTGAAATGCAACATTAGCAACTAAGCAGGCAACTAATGCCTTAATACTGTAATCAGTTATCAGAGTCCTATTGCAATAAGTTAGTCCTGACTTTAGATAGAGCACAAGAGCAAGAAACAGATGTTGGGCTAAAATCTGTAGAGTTAACTGTGGCACTGAAATAAAAGAACAAAAGCTTTAAAGTAGCTAAAATCACGAGAACAAAGCTTCACTATAATATCAAGTCTGCTAAAAGAAAGAAAAAGGAGAAGGCCCCATTCTCCATGGTACCAGCTGGCATTATTTCAGTTCATTTCAAAAAGATCATTTGTCTTTCCTTAAAGTGCAGGATATTGTACTGCACAACATTCAAGCAGCCACACAGTATTTTTATTCTGCAAGAACTATCTGCAATTGTGAAGACTGAAAAAATCCTTCTTAAAAAAGTGCTCCTTCAGAAAGCTTTGCATTCATAAATGGGAAATTATATTAAAACTGTACAAGTTAGAAACGTTGAAAGTCTAACTTACCATCCAATTTTGGAAGCTGACTTAGTACAAGAAACAGTACAGGTTTATTAAAAACTCTGAAACACAGCTATTCAACTGGCAGAAGTATGCTGTTAAAGACCATTTGATAAAGATCTACTAAACACTACAGCTAATTTGGAGTTTATAGCTGTGTTTTTACAGCATTTTTTTATATTGAATATAATACTGCAAGGCTATGTAGCAACACTGTTTACTAGGTTGGAAAAGACGAATCACAAGAAAAAACACATTAAACTAGTAAAAAGGGGAGGGAACAGTAATTATATATTTGGACAGAAAACAGGAAGTGCCAAGCTAAATATAGGGGAAAATAAAGTTATATCTTAAGACTGTCATAAGCAAGTGGAACAGGAATCTATTTCTCTATTTCTAGTGCAGAAACAGATTTTGTTGCTTATCATGAGTTTCCTCAACTGAGCTAATTAAGACACTATGCTGTTAGCTGTAGCATCTTCTACACAGTTAATGGACTACACATGAGCTCATGATACTTGGTGTCAGGCTATACCTAAACTAATGTTAGCTCAGCCAAGTATCAATAAAAGTAACAAGCAAACAGAATAAGCCCTTTGTGCAAAGTCTTATGCTTGCTGTATGACAGAAGCCCTCATTCTTAACACAAGATATCGAGAAAACTACTCAGTAACAATTAAGATGTAGATACCCAAGAGAGTTAAAAGGCAAAAGCACTGTACTCAATGTTCTGACTACAGGAAATTAAAAACATACTGCCACAGTACCAGAGTTACAGGTCAGAACCTATTTACCCAGTAATTCCAGACTCAAACTTGTAACATCTGCTTGGATACAGCACCTCTTTCAGAAAGACATCTGCTATTCACTCAGGGGACACAAAGCCTTCCAGTGGTCTTCAGTATCTTTCAAAGAAGGCTTTTCAATGAGTAATTAATTACAAGCAGCTTTTAATTCAGCACATACACACTGATGCTCAAGCAACTAACTTGGACTGCCAACTCTCTTGAAAAGACCTGGAAATAGCTGCAAGTAGAAACATCATCTGAAGACTTTTCCGTCTCCTGCCAGATAAAAACTAGCACCAGGTATCCTGACTGGCATAAACACCCAAAACAAACCCAATATGAAGTCCTTAAAATTCTGCCAGCTTTTGGAATGCCATCTGCTACTTAATCAGCTATGATTCCACCCTCTGCCATACAAGCAGACACACACACACACACACACACACACACATCAACACACTTGGTTAATTTCAATTTCTTATTCAAGTGTAGTCTGCAGTGACACACAGAGACAGCTCACACCAAAACTGTACCTACTGTGAACCTTCCAGAAAAACCTGTTATACTGCATGAGTCTTCTATTTATTTTTTTTAAGCCAAAACATATGAGCTTTAATCATTATTTACCTCAGTGTGGATAAACAGCAAAACTACATTCAGGATTCACTGGCATATTTCTTATTACAGTTAAAACCTCCTTAGGCTTTAATGGAAACAAAGAGAGTGACAGCACAGGCTGCATATTGTAAGAGCTGGGTAGCCCGAACACAGTAAGTAGAAAAAAAAACCTAGACTTTTCTCTATATCCCTTGAAACTGAAAACAGAGATGGTTTATGGAATTACCAACTGCAAAACTTCTCTTCAAAGAAGAGAACCAATACACTAATATAAAGTCTAAACCTAATTTAAGTTGCAACACAGAAAATGCAAAAATGCTTTAAGAAAACTCACCAGAACCCAAGCAAGATAGGCTTTGGTGTCCGTTTCTTCCAGGAGTACCTATGATATTAAGGGGGAGGAAGAAGAGAATTACGCTTTAAGCCAGCAAGGAACAGTTCCACATAAGCTCCTCAAACTTGACAATTTCAGTTCCTTTCTTGCAATGGCTGATGGCATTTTCAACAGCAAGATTTAGCATTGCAAAGTTAAACTACTTGGAAAATGCATGACGAAATCCCAATAAGCCAAACATTTTCTTTCAATTACAATTATCATACTTCATTTAAGCCAAGTAGCACTGCTTTATTTTATTCATTCATAGGGGACCACAGCTAATAAAAAACAATTGTCTATACTAGCATCATAGTAACTTTTTTGCACTTACACAATCCAGATATTTTATTTATATAAAGGTGGTATAAATTCACAGCACTCTCAAATGTGCTACCAATCAAGATAGATACAAATGAAAGCACTGAGGAGGTTAATCTACCTTTTCTGCATTGCTTTAGAGTCACGTGAAAACTGATCCAAGAAGTTCATTACAAGAATATTAATTAAATGAAAGCACTTTAGACTGCTAGGTCTAAGAGCAAAAGCCATGTGCAGAACTTTGTAAAAGATCTGTTGACAACACCTATCAGCTTTCTTCATGATTTACAAAGAGTGTGTGATCCTTCAACAGATGTTTCAATAGTAGACATTCTGGTTTGTCCTGCACCAAACTTGCTTCCCTCACCCCAGCCACACAAATGTAACTTTGCTCTCAACATGAAAATTTTATCTTACAAAGCCTGACTCAAGATTTTTATCTATTTTTTCTATTCATGCTGGTAAAAATGACTAATTTCAATTGAAAGTTGAAGATAAACCAAGCATCTGATACAGATAAATACTATCCTGAACAGTCAAACCTGATCAAGATGTTCTTGCAAGAATTGTGCTTAAATTAAACACAAACTCGGGAAATCTAGTCTGGGTTGTGTGTTGCAAGTATATGATCTTATAAGCAGGTGACAGAATATCATGTAACAGACATTATCAAGTATTCTGAACCCTCATGGGATGCTAGTTTAAAGCAGATAGTGGCAATGATGCCCTGATTGCCACATACACACCTGACCCAATACATAAGGATACAAATACATAAGGAGTACTCTGAAGACCCAGTCTCCAATACTTTAAACTACAAGGAAGAAGAGCAGACTACTACCTCAATTACTCTGAAGTCATAAAGCACAGCTGTTCTTTCTCAAGACAGGGGGATTCAAGAATGTAAGTGAAAAACTGACTTCACCCAATAGCTGATTACCTCTAGTCTCACTGACTTTCCTTGCTGAGTGCAGTGGTCCAGATAATTTTGGTGTGCACTGATTCAGTGAAACAGACCTGGCCTTGGCTCCTAGAAGTAGAAGCTTAGATCAGGTTTAAAAGTATAGCTATGTCAGCAGTTTAAGACATGCCAAATATTACATACTTGCAGTTAGGATGCACAAATCTCCTCAAACAGAAAAAGAGACACTACCTAGAAAATTTAAGCTATATTTAACTTTATCACAACTCACACTGGAAGAAAGAAAAACATAGCTTTAATAAAGCTTCTAAGCAGAAGGAAACATTAGTAGATTTCACTTCACACTAAGATTGAATTATGTAAGTCTCAAAACAGCAGCAAATACAACACAGCTACATAGAGATTGTCTGAAAGGGACCTCCGGAGGCCAGCTATCCAGCCACACACTCAGAGCGACCACCAAGACACGCTTCTAAAACCCCGGTCACTTTACATGTTGCACGGTGCACAGTTGTGTTGCATGTATTAGATTGTGTTTGTGCCAAAGTGATCTATAGTTTGTGGCAAATTGTTTCTTTTCACAGTTTACCAATTTAAATCATGACACTTGGCAGGCATCTCTTCTATTTATTCTCAGTTATGTCAGACACCAGCTTAAAATTTAAGACTAAAGCAGAAGCATTGTATTTAATTAGGTTTATCCAATTATGGTAACCAGTTCACCACAAAGACGGACAAAAGCAAGCTGATTATAACTAGGATTTACAAGAGAGACAGCAAGCTTATTTATCTGCTCCTGTTGTGTCTTTAATTTTGGCCAGAGAATGAGTTGTCAACTGCTGTTGCTAGCTTGAATGAAGAAGCAGCATTGGCCAGTTGAGGAGTCCTGGTTCAAACAGGAACAGGAACCGTAACAATGTTTAATACAAAGACAGTAAGCCCATTTAAATTAATGTTTTCTTTAGCACCAGGTGATGAAACACAATTTTCTTATGCCCATTAGAGGAAATCTCTGCTTCCAATTCAGTCAGTAAAAAGAACATCAAGAAAAAGAAGCATGAAGAGCTAAGCTGTTTCTGGGAGTCTTCCCTTAGAAAGACAGAACAATGTTGTCCATCTATGAAAGAAGATACTTCATCTAATACCTTATTCAAACAAACATCCCCATCCCCTAATGTCCTTTCTGTCCTGAAAGGGATGAAGATAATGCAAAGTCTGCATGAGGACAAGGACAACCACATATTCAGAATAAATCAAAGGTACTTCTGCCCTACAAACCACCAGCAGCCACAGTGTAGTAGCTTAACAGTAGTACCTACAGTTTCACTCTTATCTACAAACAGTCCCATGTACCTTTTGGGGTTGACTTCAATGCGTGTAACCTGGGTCTTGGTACTGCTTTCAAAGGGACAGGAGCAGAAGTACCATTCTGACAGGCTGGTTTTGTAGGCCATTCTCCATTCTTGATGACGACTGTGGCACTTGCAGCTGCAACACAGAATGACAAAGAACTTGCTCTAGGCAGTATCTAGTTTTAGGAAAATTAAATCCTTAAACAAGCCTGTTTTACCCAAGGCTAAAGTTAGGAGATAAAGTTGGAATAAAAATGTTACTACCACATCCAATACATTCAGTACAGACTGATGACCCGTAACAGCTCAGTGTATGACTGTTATAACACTTCTCAGAAATAGACAGACTGCTTTGAACCATGCTTAAGTGAATATATATGAACGTATTTGATCAAGATACACAACAAGAAGGTTGATATTGCTGTACAAAGTTAATAAAAAACACATTTCAGTTTAAGCGAAGAAAAAGTATCATCAGTACACAAAAACATTCTGACCAAAGAACTGTTAAAAACCATAATACCCAAGTAAAACTCGGACAACTCCCTCATGCAACACCTTCCCCTGTTCTCTCTCATTTGAGCTGAGCCTGTTGTTTTAATGATATGGCGCACACACCACCAGCGGACTCTGCATCCCTTCCATCCCCTTTGGGAGGCACTGAAAGAGTGTGAGCACAACTGCCCTTACCAGCTACTAAACAAGTTTTGAAAAGCTTCCTGTAGTCTCTGCTCATAACAATGACCTCCTCAACGACAACAGACCTCAGAAGACTGTCTACCCCCAAGAGAGCACTGTAGTCATAGAATCATAGAATAGTTAGGGTTGGAAAGGACCTTAAGATCATCAAGTTCCAGCCCCCTGCCATGGGCAGGGACACCTCACTCTAAACCATATCACCCAAAGCCTCGTCCAACCTGGCCTTGAACACTGCCATGGATGGAACCTTCACAACCTCCTTGGGCAACCTATTCCAGTGCCTCACCAAAGTCATACAGCAAAGTACTCCCTACAAAAAGACGTAGACATGCCGTAACTGGGAAAGGCCAGAAAATAACCAATTGCTACCTCATACCCAAACTGGGAGTCTAACTTACACGGAAGTTGCTACAGAAAACATCTGGATCTATTTCAAAGGAACATGAGAAAGATTTGGGTTTACTGTCATTATGAAGATTATTTTCCTTGAAAAAAAAAAGAAGACTGAAATTTGAGGAAAGCATTGTTTTATTTTTTTCTGAGGAAAAAATAATACTTCTAAAGCAAGTATAGATTGAGAACACTTTGGTTCAGGTACTAAAAAAATTACATATACTGACACATTGAAGAGTAAGAAACCGACATTACATTTACCAAAGACAAGCAAAATCTAAGTTACACTGGAATAGCTTGTCACATTTGCTTTTTTCTGTAGTCATTTGAAGAAAAAGAGGGTGGGGTCATATCAGGTTTGCCTCAGATTGGTGTTTTAATGAGGCTAAATTTTTCTAAAGGTAAGGTGAACTAGATATCCAATATTGCTCACTGAAAGACAGAACATACAGTCGTGAGATAATTTTAGCATCTTTAAATGCACTAGCATAAACCATGTAAGTTACGTGCTTCAAAAAGATGCTTTTTGCCCACTAATCAATGGATTTTTAATCTCAGAAAGAAGGACAGAACTTCTTTCTCTTTTAGAAACATGCAACTGAAGTCCTTCTCTTATTTTTTAAATAAAGCTGGAGCCTCTCTAAAAGCACAGAAGCTAAATACTTGAAAAAAAATCTAGGAACAATTCATGTAACACATCAATAACACAGTTATTCTATGAATATCCATTGACATGACAGAGGATTCAAACCAATTTGCTTTCGTAAAGGCCTGAAACAGTCCTTAATTCTTTCTGTAAGTCACTAAATTGAGTATTTTTGCTCAGAGTTCACTGCAAGGAGCTAACAACTGCCTACGAACTGCTGTGCTACTTTTGAGAAGCATGCTATGCAAGTACCACATTGGGTAAGTGAGCACACTTCTGGTGAAGAACTAGTCAGGGCACTGTTTTGTCCTGTTACAAGCTCTGGGATCAGCTAACCAGGCTGAGTGCAGAAAAAGGCAAATCTGCAAACTTTGGTCCCTATATGATTCAAAGGTGGTTATCCATAGAATTAAGAGTAGCTAGTGCAATCTTGATGAAAGATGGACAGGCATGAAGTTATCTCACCACAGCTAAGATCTGAAAGGTTTAAAAACTCAAGTCCTTAAAAGCACTTAGTCAAGTATTGACTGCAGAGAAATGCAGCTCCAGGTCAATTGCTAGGACCAGCCTTTTCACTTCTGAAACACTATTTCCTTTCCATGCAATTATACTAACGCAATTCGTGTTTGAATTCTTGTCCTTAACCTCAGAGTTTAAACATTTCAGTATGTTCAAACGACAGTACTTCCAGCACAGCACTGAAATTGCTATTTGTCTGCTGTTAAAAAAAATAATCAACTTTTCACTGCTTGAACTGACAGCTTGTGCGCAAAATACACTTTCATTAACAACATTTCAAACTCCATCATTTCCAAACTTCTCAAACAGTCTGTTTAGACAAAAAAAAATCATAAAATTCAAGTGCTCATAAACAAACAAACAAAACATCAAAAAACCCTAATACTGCCACAGGAAAATTCTAATCCACGGACATCCATAGCAATCCATAACAAAGGGCTGAGCTGACACAGCAGGACAAATGCTCTCTTCTGTATTTTTTTCCCCTGCTAATACAAGGCAAACTCCTTAAGCAAAACAAGCCAAGCAACTCTGTAAATTTAATACTCTTGACAGCACCACAACAGTTAAAAATTTCACGATGCTCACAGCATAAGGCTCCCATCTTGATCTTTGTGTGTCCCACCCATCCAATTAAAACATTTTAGGTTTACAAATACAGACTTATTTTTCCTGACATCACTGTAGAGTAACTGAAAAAATAAAAACCAAGAACAGCACCGTACTCTATTATTAGAGTACAAAGTAAATTCATGAGTTCTTTCCAATTTGATTCAAACTCAAAAGCTTCACTTGATTAATCTATAAATTATATGTAACCTATTACACTCAGAGAACCTGACCACCAGACATAAATCACTCATCAAGTGTAAGAAATTAACTAAAGAAAAATCATCTCACAGAAAATCAGCAAGTCAAAACACTGCATGCATTTACCAACCTCCACAAAACAAACGCTTTAGAAGAGAAATAAAAAGGAATACAACCTACTTCTTTTCCCAGTGATCGTGGCTAACAAAGGAATAATACAAAAGCTGTAAGATCCCACTACCAGCAATGTCAGTAAGGTAATATCAAAGTGGCTTCCTGAGTCAGTCGGTGGTGTTAGTGTAGAATTGATGAAAATAACAGGAGAAAAATTGGTTTCTGTGCAACTGCGGAGTCCTCCTGGTATAGTCATTTAAAAAAGATCAAAGCTAGCTCAAAGCCAGAGAAACTGCAGCCATGTCCAACAGCTCATATTGCTCTTGCTTGCTCTTCGTGAATCGGAGTGGAAAAAATTATAAGCTTGAAGGCAGGGGGCAAAACAGATTAAACCGGCTACCAAGTAAGGCTAAATAAGGAGTCATCTGTTTGGATACTTAATCTGAATACACTTCTTTGTTATGAAGCGATGACCCTTTCGTTTGTTACACGAGGGAGTAAAATGAAGAGAGAACAAAGCTGCTTAGGAATACCAGATACAATCCTAAACCTGAACAGCAAGAGTCAACATGGCTGTCACAGTAATCGAACCGACCTGATTACACAGGAATAGGCACTGCATGCTTTATTACACACTCTTATTTCTTTGAGGAAAGAAGTCTTTGTTTTTTAACAAAGACACTCCAGGGGAAAGAAAAAAAAGGGGGGGGGACACAACTCAAACACCAAGAGAAAATGTATTTATGTATGCATGTATGCATATGCGCATACATAAACTACAGACATATGTTATATCACCATTCCCTTTTTCAGCCCATTAAAGACAGATTTAAACATCATCTGGCACTAAGTAAAGGCCTTTACCCAGTCTCTAAGATATAACAGATGATGCAACAGCAACAGAATATTTAAATGTACTCATTTGAACGTGTACAGCTGGGAATACTACTACATCTGATAGTCAGCTGTGTGTAATGTCCTTCATATTTTTGGCCCTAGAACTCCCACAACTGCTGGTACAGACCTTTTGCAGAGCTTCAGAATCAAAGCAAGTTCTGTTATTCTTCTCCCTACTTATAATCAAAATGGAATTGGTTCAGGTCAGACACCAATGCTTACAGTTACCTTACAAATTATAGAAGTCTACACATGCAAAAAATTTAACATTCTAAAAGGAATTTGACTTACCTGCTTTTCATCTGATCTACATATTTTGTCTTAAAACTCTGAAAACAGGTAATAATCTAGTCCAAAAAGAGCATTTAGTACCAAACCCCTGTAACACGCTGTATTATGACTGGTAATCCATTCCCACCATCCACTTACTACACTACATGTAAACACAAAGAAGCTTTCACTGAACACAAGCCTCGCTGTTTTTGTAATGTTTCATTATGAAAGAGGAGCTCTACTGTAGCCTCTAGCCAGCAAATCAAAATCCAGGGTTCAAGGCTCCTTCAAGTGGCGCATCTCAAGAAGTTGTAAAGTAAGAGGCAAAAAGTCTGAGATCTAGAGCTGTTACGTACTAGAACTAGAATCAACACAGGCCTTCTGTCAGACAGCACTCCCCTTCAAGGGGATTATTTTTGTTTTCTTTTCAACAAGCAGTTGATGCTGACTATCAGCGAAAACTCATAACCCCAATAGATACTTACAGTTACTGCTGAAATGACTTGGCTCACTCTGGGCACTGCTGACTGATGAGATGCTAGGAGTTCTCTCAAGCACTGATCTTTTGACAGGCACTTTGGATTTGGTGAGTGGTTTACCAGAGCCAGCCCAGGAGACTGGAGTATTTTTCACAGAGGCATGCCTCTCTCTTGGCAAAGATCCTGTACTTGTCAATTGGGGGGAAGGGGTAGGGAGAGAAAATAACAAAAGGAGTTGCAAAGAATCTAAAAGAATTGCTTCTTCCATATATATGACCACAAGTAAAAATATTTACACATTAAAAATACACATAAAAAAGCCTTATCTACCTCATATTGGCATGGTTAAAAAATGCTGTAAATGCAGAAAAATGGTTCCAGGGATTTAAAGAGTCCCATTTTACCTGCACGCTGACATCAGGAACAAGTCAAGAGCTTTAAAGACTGGCCTTTCAGGCAGAAATATGCGTTCACAAAGTTTTCCTGCATTCTCCTACGTCTGTGTATTATGGTTAGCTGTACTAGCGAACCCATGAGAATATAAACTCTAGCTCAAAGACAATCCAAGAAAGATTATTTCATTTGTTACCAGCCCCAAACCAGAGATTCCTTCCTATCAAGGACAAACAGCACAAGAGTATCAAAGTGTGCTGTATTCACATAATGCACTGAAAACTGACTAGCTCCCTAGGACTAGTTAATCAGCACTCCCCAGAACCAAGTTCCTGGTGACCAACTGGTGCAGACACATTTTTTTTTATTAAATGCTGTTTTCATTTCAGCTTGTTGAATACAAATGCCCAACATCTATATTAATCCAATACAAAGAGTATTTATAGATGAGGCCAGTGTGCCATCTTCAGATGGGAGCTTGCTCTTGTACAACACAATTTCTGCAAGAAAAACTCTTTAGTTAAAATAAGTTTTTAGGTTTTTTTCAGAAAAAAAGTGCACCCAGATTAAAACTCCAGTGGCCCAAAGGAAGTTATGTACACACAGACTTGCCTGGCCAGCACCACCTTGTCTCTTGTCAGCTCCAATGTCAACATTTTATACAGTCCTCTAACAATTGAAGAGGTTTTCATTTCTACACAAAAACACAGATATGGCAGACAGACTTTTTTTCTTTTTTAAAATACCGTTGGTTTTGGTGACAAAAACCTGGTCTCTGCGTGGACACCTCATAGCAGCCTTCCAGTATCTGAAAGGGGGCTACAAGGATGCTGGGGAAGGACTCTTCATTAGGGACTGTACTGACAGAACAAGGGGCAATGGGTTCAAACTTAAACAGGGGAACTTGAGGTTAGATATAAAGAAGCAGCTCTTTACTGTGAGGGTAGTGAGGCACTGGAATGGGTTGCGGTTGCCCAAGGAAGTTGTGAATGCTCCATCCCTGGCAGTGTTCAAGGCCAGGCTGGATAGAATCTTGGGTGTCATGATTTAGTGTGAGGTGTCCCTGCCCATGGCAGGTGGGTTGGAACTTGATCTTAAAGTCCTTTCCAATCCTAACTATTCTATGATTCTGTATTTTGCAAAACTTGGGATGTTACTGCCATTTTAAAGATTGACAGATATAGTTTATCTTACTTGGAGAGACAACTACAGTGTTTCAGATTTGACTTAGAGCAACCAAGTTTATATTTAAATGGCATACCCTTCCCTTATTCCTGTCACTTTAAACCAAATTTCAGTTTTACTTAAGGTATATAAGAGATTACTGAAATACAACAAAATTAGCTAGCAATTCCACTTTATTCAACAGTAGTTTTGCTGCAGGACCTCCACTCCCTAAAGACCAAGAAATGATCAGTCTGCACTACGGCCAAGAAAGAGTGACGTTAGGACATTACACTAAAATTCAGGCAAGAAAAACACTTAGGCCCAATGTCTGCTTTTCAACAGTAGGTGGTGTACCAGGATTAGATAATTTGTCTCAAAACATACATTACCCAAAACCAGGAACAGTACTGGTAAAAGGAAGGTATGTCCAAACTATTTCCTAGTTCAGATCAACTCAGCAATGAGAGAAAAACCCTACATACAATATATACTAAACACGCATTAGGGTATATAGGCATACAGTACTGGTCACTGAATATAACACACAAACTTCAATGAGTCATTACACAGGCTTTATGTCAGACCTCACTTCTGAGGTGCGCTTTTACCACTTGTTTGGCATTACTACACAGAGCTGTGGCTCTGTATATGGCTTTACTGTAGATCTCCAAGACAAAGTTATCAACCATATTTTAGATTTTTTTGTAAGTTACAGTAATGGATCCTTGAATATCTCCAGCTCACTAAAGAGCATCCAGCCTTTGTCGTGATAGGAGAACACAAACTCACACTGACTAAAAACACATCTATAACACAGCACTCCAGACAACATACCTGAAATAGCTCATGTTTGACTGAAATAGATTTCTGTGACATCTGAACCTCATACAACAAATCTGACAGCCTTGTAACACACTTTCCATGTTGTTTTATAACACCTTGTTTCATTAACGGGTCAACATACCAGAAAAGTAATTAATCCAGACCAGGCAGAAATTCCTTTTCTAAATAGCCCCTCAGCAGAAAAGGTGCAAAACCCAAACAAACTTCACTCCCTCAGAACAAACAGAAGAAAAAAAACAACCCCAAAATATAAACCCAACCAACCAAGCAAGCAAAAAAAGGGGCTGCTATACAAATGCTGCATGTTAAATTCAACTTAGTAATTTAAAGCTTTGTATTTCCAAAGGTAGCTAAAAGAACAAAGGTAGCTTATCAGCTGTATTTTATTGTCTAAAGATGAAGGGTAGGTAGCATGCTTGACTACTATTGTGCTGGACTTGTTCATCCAGTTCAAAAGGTACAGGAACAAAATCCTGTTTTGTTCACAGTGAACAAGCATGTGAAAACACTGAATCTCTTCTTGTACAGTGTGATCCCTATATATATCTTGCAGCCAGCCTGGCTTCTCTGCAGATGCTGGAAAGCAGCAGTGCCCCAAGCCAGCTGCAAACTCAAACCCATCCAGTGAACGCAGCACGCTCTAGGATGACCAGTTTCAGAAGCAGTGAAACAGATGACCTTTGCTCCTTACTTAGTTCTTCTACTGCTTGGTGCTTTTCTATAACACTTCTATTAAAGTAATTACTTCAAGTACTCAAACACGCTTTTCAAAAGCCCAGCTTGAGGGAGAATTTCTTTTAAGTCATGAAACAAGACCATTAAGCAACTACTCTAAGCGTTACTTCAGTTTTACGAAGCATTTTTTGTAAGTACCATTCCCTAAGAAAGGAGTCACACAGAATTAAATGTGAAGGTTTTGGAGACAGAAGCCGGAAGATATGAGATATAAACAAAAGGACTGGAAACAACCACAAAAGCAGGATATTTAGTGAATCATTATTATGAAGACAACAAGCAATATCATCAAAGTAGCAGGCTTTCATCAGTTATTTAATCTAGTCACTGAAGTGGAATACTAGAAATATCACATTCCTCTACACTGAAGCAATGAGTTGGCAACTCTTTAGAAATTAAGTCTCTATGCAACAGCCACATTACTTCAAGTACGCTAAAATATCTCTTGTATTGCAATGGAAATAAGCAAAGAACAAAGCTCATTTTTCAAGAAGCTCTGAAGTCAGCTTTCAGATCCTTACTCAAATAGTCATATGCTCATATGAACCCTTCTCATAGGCGGTTATTGTGAAGAATAACTTAAAGCCTCCTTCAGTATCACTGGAGTCTTAAAAAAAACCCAAAACTGCAAGCTTAAAAATCCAGAGTGCTCTATTTTAGAAGTGCTAAATTTCATAGCTTTAAAAAAAAACAAAACAAAACAAAAAAAAATCATTTCAAGCATGATGAAAAGGTGTAGTCTAAACCTACTATACAAGGTCTTTGTAAAGCAAGGGGAGTAAATCTTCAAGAAAACATATAATTTTTTGGCATCTATTGAAAGGAGTAATAAATCATGGAATGACAAACTAGTCTTTTGTATTGTTTCCAGCATACCAATCCTAACATAGTTGTAAGAGCATTTATGGTTGCTATTCTGAGCACTGTAAATCTAAATACTAACAGATTCCTGATGGCTGCAAGCTCTCCAGGTTGCCTGGTTGGCCACTCAGCAATATTAGTATTACTGTATTATGCTAAATATATATACACATCACTGTTTGTTCAAGGAATCATAGAATAGTTAGGGTTGGAAAGGACCTTAAGATCATCAAGTTCCAACCCCCCTGCCATGGGCAGGGACACCTCGCTCTAAACCATATCACCCAAGGCTTCGTCCAACCTGGCCTTGAACACTGCCAGGGAGTGGTTACAGCACATTCCATAATCCTACTAAAGATACACAGATAATCTCTTTCTAGTTATCTCTCCCTTTAAAAGTCTCAAATTACTACCAAAATTACCAAAGAAAAGGCAGGACACACTTAAGTCACGTTGCTTGTAATACCTCAACTGATAAACAAACACGTACAAAAAAGACATGGAATGTCAAGTTACTGGTGGGTCTTGAAATATTAAGATGAAAGAGATTCATTTGTTTAGGGGATAACAGCTGATCAGAGAACAATTTACATTATTAAGGCAAGACCCAACTCCCCTTATGATGCAGACTTCCCCACTATTGTTCCCGTTCACCTACAATCCTTACGGAAGTGCTCATCCTTGGCACAGATATGAATCAGCAGCAAGCTAGTGCCAAAAACATAACCAGGATGCCAGCAGCCATGTGGGTAGGTATTGATGTGTTCTTCCTATTGCAGCTCAATTTTTTTGGACTAAAACTGAAAATCTGATCATCAGTGCATTATATTAGCAGCTAACAACCACCAAGCCAACCCTTTTAATTCTCCTACACACTCCTGCTGTCAGAATAGTGATCAGTGTGTTTTCAATCAGAGGAAGAGAACAACACTAATGTACAACTACTGTTAAATTTCACTTTTTCCCTTCCTATTTGTCCCAGCTTTGAAATGTGGCAGACTTCCTCCCAGTTAAATCCTTCCACTACCAGAGACTCTTCCCTTCCCTATCTTCCATCAGGCTCAACTCCCTGCATGTCACCTCTCCAGCACCTGGAAATAGCCTTTCTCCTTCCCAGCCTCATGTCCAAACTCACGCCTGCTCTCCCACCTCCAGCGGTGTCTGCCCCCATATTGCCTGCTGCA